GGGATCAAATTCGGCAACTCAAACATTCTTTTGACTTTTTTTTTTTACAATAAAATTTTCTGTTATTATGTAATAGTAATCTCGTGTATTCGTTGAAAGACCAACCTTACACGCCGCGACAACAACTGTGCTGTCTGGGCTAACCCAAATTGTATAAGAGTCCTGGTAAATGAACAAGGTATCATGGCCGTCTCTTTCGTAGATACAACCAACTGTCTGTATTATAGGTAGTTGTTTGTCCGATGACATTATGCACGTACGTTCAATTTTTGTTTCACCAACTTTTTGTTTCCTAAAGCAGTAACAGTCATGCAAAGTAAATTGATAGCTGGTGTGCTATAAGACCATCATAGTTTGATTCCAATTTTTTAGTTGTAACTCCTGAATAGTTTTCTTTCCTTTTTTATTTTTTCCCTACACTATCGTCTACCACTTCTTTGCCCTTCCTACTTTTTCTTTTACTCCTCATGTTTCTTTCTTTTACCAATTGACTGCCTGTAACTATCACCAAGAAAATGTGCAGCGTTTGATAAACAACAAGCATACTTACCATCTACAGCCAACTATCCGCTCAATCATAGTTCCATTATCTGCTCTGTATAGACAACCAACTGGTTTTTGAGCATAACTGTTTGAAAGTACTTCGCACTGATACAGTGTTTCACCTTTATGGAATCGATCACCATCATAAAAATTTTTGCCATTGTAATAGCAACCAATGAAAACCTTCTGAGTTCGAGCACCCAATCTTCTGCAGTAGTAGATATGTTCACCATCCTGAAAATGTGCTATAATTTAGTGTGTACAGTAAGTTTAGGTGTCGTTTTTGATGGTGTCAGAGATATGCTCGATTTTCACTGTTTCATTCATCGAAAAATGTTGATCAAAGAAGCACGTTAATTGTTTTTGTTTGTCTTCCACCAATTCACTGCACGGATACTGTAGAAAGGCGCCATAAATGTAAAAAAAAACGAAAATGCAAAGTAGAGTTTAATAAATTCGCGTCATAAAGTCTTGCAGATTTCAGTTAAAAAAAAAAAAGAAATGACATTTTTTGAAATGAATTATATTTGCAAAGTTAATAACATTATAGCCAAACAATTTAAAAAAAAATAGAAGAAGAAACAACATAAAAATTTAAAATTATTTTGCCTAAAATTTATTCGATTCTTTTCTTTTACGTTTTATATGTTTTGATTCGTAAGAATATAATATTATGTGCACACATATATAACATATTTTTTTTCACTTTGCCCGTTCTCGTCATTGTTTCATAACAAATTTTTCTAATCAAATTAGTGTTTCATCGTCGTTCTTAATGACACGTTACTCCATAATCTTTTTTTTGACTTCTATTTTTGTTTTTATTTTAAAAATTAAAAACGATAAAAGTCTGTCTATAAAACAATGGCAACAACAAAAAGTGAACTAATTACAACGAACACTAATCATCTATCTTTTTCCAGCAATTTTTGTTAAACTTACCAGCATAAATGGCTGAATAACACTGTCTTCAAGCAATGAACAACTTCTAAGTGTTTCAGTTAACGAATAAATTTGAATAAAAAATTGGTAACCAAGAAGATTATACCAGTTTTTATACAGACTTCATCAGCTTACATATCAGTGAACTAAAGAAAGCAAAAAAAAACTTACAGGCCACTGTTCACCAATTTCATAATGTTTGCCGTCGTGGACACAGCCTACCGAACACATTGATACTGAGCCATCATTTTTCAGCAAACATTTATATCTATAATAGCATACACTGACCCATTAAAAAACTGTTGCTTGTTCGCTTGGCACCAAGGAACTGATTAAAACTGCCTTCTAATAACTGTTTAAGTTGTTAGACGACGATTTTACGCAATTTTTTTTTGAAAACTGTCTTATCTTACAGCTTAAAATATGCTGTTTGAAATTAATAATCCTATATCAGTTATTATCATAGTAGAACTAACGTAAAATTTCCAAGGTCATATGATTCGCCAACGTTTAATCGTCTAGATTTGTCATGCGTAAAACACCCTCCAATTGCTTCTCGTAAATAACCGTTATCGACTTTACAAATAAACCAATAATTTCGCTGTAAAAAGGAAAAGACGAGACTATTAGCTTAAAGAATCACATTTCACACATGTACAACAGCTGAGAATGACGATTTAATATCAAAAAAAGTTGAAAACAGCAGATATAGAATCATACTTCTGGATCTTCCCAAGTTTCATCAGCCTTGAATCGTGTTCCGTTCGGTGAGACACAAGATATAAATTTGAGATTTAGAGAATCGTTATTATTCAAAAAACACTGAATTTCATATCCACCATCAATATATGCTTCATTGATTTGTACTCGGTAAGTATCGTTAACTACACAACCTTTAGGTACCAATTCTCCACCAGAACAAGTGTAAAAATATTTTCCTGCAATTAATATACAGTATTTTAAAGCAGTTATACCAGTTATTTGTCATTTTATAAAAAAATTTAAAAAAGAAGCTGGCAAAAGTAAAATACGAGCCTGATTTTACCTCGGATAATTTCTGAACCATTATTCCACCATTGTGCCGGTAAACCGTTACCTGATGACCAACATCTGTGGTCATCAGTTATCTCTTTGAACGTACTGACAAGTTCAACGTTTACAGTGCACAGCAATAACATCAATAGTATTTGCATCATTGTTTTTGACATATAGCAGATAGACATAAATATGAAATATGTTGAACAATTAGTCAATTCTTGTAGTTGTTTTATGTAAAAAACTGAAACAAAACAGTTATTTTGGTTACGTTCAGCCAGAAAAAAAGATAACAGTATAAATTTATCGTTAAACAAAAGAATACATTTTTACATAGAAGTTCAGAATAGAATAAAAGAAAAACAAAGTTAAGAAAGAAAAAAAAAAGATAAGTTAATGTCGCCACAAAGTCGCCCTTCATTTTTTGTTAATTTTTCAATTTACCATTTCCTCGGCCGTGCCCAACACCACTGAACCCCACCCCACTCCATCCCGTATTTGACAACTTACGCTAGTTAGTTTCCTTTTCTGTTTTCTTTTGTTTTTACTGCTATCTGACAAGTTTTTTAATCTTACACAATTAGAAGCACCTTTTACCGCACTCATTCTTTTTAACAATTGCTGAAGTACTTATAATAAGTTATAATGCCAAAAAAACTGAATAAAGAACAACAACAGAATTGTAACTAAACCGTGTCAAGTTAACTTCTACATTACACTTTACCAGTCTTATTCACTTAACAAGTCAATTGTGTTTAATCATCTGCAAAAAAAAAAAAAAAAAAAAAAAAAAAAAAAA